GGTGTCAACCCATTCTGATTGCAACATTTTAGGCTACTTAGACTGAAATCAGTACACGGGAGAGACTTAACTCCTCATTTCAATTTCTTATTAATGAACTATTTATCTACTCGTTTTATTTCACTAACAACATATTGACTGTGTATCTTATACTTGGTTATTTAAATTGAATATCATCTGTGTGGTATAAACTGCTTTAACAGTATGTTTGTTTTGTACTTTGTGTATTTCATTTATTGATACTATTCTTGGAAATATGTCAGTATCTTGTTGGTTTTTGTATCTTCATTAGTTTTAGGCAGTACAACTGCTACTAACATCTGTCTTGTAGAAAGATGTTGGTTTTGTGGCTTGGTTGATTTTTTGATGTTTCAAATATTATTACCTCTTATTTAATAATTAAGATCCCACACACACGCTTGTGGAACATTCTGTTTATTTGTTTATATAAAACAGATTAATCATGTTGCTTGAGCCCTGTAAATACAGAAGTATAGTCATATTATGGTAGTTTGTAAGACGATGTGTAGTAACTAAAATATCTCAAAGAGTCATGATACTGGATGTCCATTCAGCAGGAGTATCATTATTAAATACTGTTACATTAATCAGCTGTTTATAAAGACCTCTAATTAAGGTATCAACATTGACATTCCAAATGAATGCCACTAGAACAAACTGTAGCCACCACCTGATGATAATAGGCCAAAGGACAGTTGTTTTTTTTCTTCAGGGCAACAGATATTAAGCTGTGTTCCAGTTGACTGAAGTCTTCAAAAATATTAGGACTTGATTACCTTCAACCTATGCCAAATGAAAGTCTTTAAAAAGCTGTTGTATTTCAGGTAAATAACTGCTAAAAAACACAGCAAAGCATGTCTTCAGTGGTGTTTAAAGTGCAAACTGTAAACATTTAATGACTGGAAGTGTGTGACATTGCATTTTACATTTTTCTGTACTGATTGTATACTAAGAATATAGAGAAAAAGTACATGGGACATTTATATTTAATTACTTTGTTCTAATGATACAAGTTACTAGAGGTGATGTAATGGTGTGGGGAAAATTCATTTGATTTTTTTAGAAAGGCAAATAATGTCTAGTTTGTAGCTTAATGTTGTTTGCCAATTCTGTACATCCCATAATCCACATTATCATTTAGATAGATAAGATGTGATTATGCAACAACACACCAAACTCGTATTGTTTGAAACTAGTTTATAGAGCAAAATAGTAACTTCAGTTTTCTTTTTTGATTAGCACAGTCACTGGGTTTCAATTGTATCAAGCATATATGGGATGGACTTGCATGTATAATCATCTACTCAAACCTGTGAATTAATTCCAAACCAAACTCGTTGTAAAATGGTGTACAAGTGAACAAGACACCAACTGACATCTGGAGGAATTGTGCCATCCCAAGTTCTGCTGTTATCGCTAGGAAAAACTGATCCAATCCAATGTTATATAGGATTTTAATGAATTGACCAGTCAGTATTCATGTAACATTTGTATGATATAAATCCATTTTGTTTCAAATATTACAATTTTTAATAACTTTGTAGTTTAAATATACTTGTTTGTGAATTTTTCTTCTCAAATTGTTTACTTTCTGTGAAGAAAAGAAAGAATTGATGAGAGGCCTAATCTATTCTTTGATTCACTAAATTGTTTAATTGTGATCTTTTATTTGTTTTCTATTATTTATAAAAACATACTGTCATCCATATGGTATAAATAAATATATATATTTAACTTTTAACCCTATGTGCATGGGTGTGGGTCAGAA